GCTAAAACAGAATGTAAACAATGCGTTGGACGTGGACGTAAAAGAACCTGATAACACCAGAAGTCTCCCCAACCATCCTCCAGAAAATCTGGGTAGTACCTCCGTTGAATTCGCCATCGTTTTTAAATTTTATAAAACGCTGTACCTCCTGAAAAATAATACAATTATATCAAAACTTAAACAAAACGAAATCAGATGAACTTATAAAAAAAGTGTTTTTCTACTCATAGAAATTCTATTCAACAGAATAGACATGTTGCATAAGAAAAACTAAAATGATAACGGTCGAACCCGTTAAGCTAGTTTTCGGATTCTAGAGGTTTTAAGATACGCTCTCTCCACTGAGCATATCAAAAAAAATTTATCCGTTGAGGAAATAGGGTTTCTCGCAAATTCTCAATTTCTAATCATCAAAAAGAAGAACGGAATAGCGTTATAAAAAACTGAACAAACATAGATGATTGGCAGTTTCTGAGCGAAAATATTGATTTCTTACAGGTTAAGTTTCTAAAAGATTTACAGGCTAGAAATCCTTTAGAAAATTACCGATATAAACTGAATTTTTGTAAAGCCGCTTTTTCGATTAAATTTGTTTTGTTTGAAGCAGTCAGGAATATGTAATAATGTATTCGCACGAGTTTTCTGAAGGAATTTTGATAATTTAATTCACTATGAAATAGATCAAACTTTGTCAATATGTTTTTACAAAATTTGAAATCAGTTCCCGTTTCGTCGAATATTTGTTTCTTTTGTTTCGGCGAAAAATAAAACTGGGATGAAAAGAAGTAGAATATAGAGTCACCATTCTAATTGAATAGATTTAGCTTAGAGAAAAAAAAATCCAAATTTTTTGATGCCAGTTAATCGCATAACTTTTTCAAGATATTCTTCTAGTACTAATGTTTGTTGTTTATTATAACGGTTTTCTATATCGTGTAATCGTGCATTTCAATAAATTCTTTTCACCAGTTGCGGTGAGTCTTCAAGGCGTCGTTTTAAATTCATTCTAAATCCTTCAACTTTACATTTATTTTCATCATCACTGTGATTATGTAGTTTTTTCATGGTAGCATCTTTTACTGAATTTCGACGTTGTCTATAATTATTTTTTTGAACTTAAATAATATCGAAATATTAAATGGTTGTATGACAGAAAGACAAACAATGTTTGAATATATCCACTTAAACAACAAAATATTAATGATGTTTGATACAATTTAAATTCTAATTATGTTAAAATATAATCATATAATGTTCATGCATTTAAATGTAATTCAAAAAAAAATATTAACTTTAATGTATTACCCAAATTGTCGACGATTATAATCAATAAATATCTATAAACGATTGTATAATAATTGAAATTATCATTGTCTGTTGAATTGGTTGTAAAAAGCATTTTTTCTTCATTTCACATTTTCAAAAGAAAAAGTAACGAGCTATAACTATTTCTTGTTCAAACGAAGATGTATTGACGTAAGAAAAAGTAGAAAAAATCTTCTGGAATAAATTAAATACTTATGTCTACTGAGTTAGCATTTCTATTTAGCCATAGTAGCATAATGCTTGGAAAACAGATGTGATAATTTTTCCATTTTCTATTCTATTATATAACAAAGTAGATGTAAGGCTTTTAATTTATTCTAAAGGTTTTTTGTTATTTTTTTCATATCGATTCGATTACACAAGAAACAGTTACAGCTCGTTTTACTTTCTGTGGAAATGTGAAGCGAAGAAAAAATGCTTTTCATAGCTAATTCAGTAAACATTGATACTTTCAATTATTATAATTATGGGAATTTATGGATTTTAATTTTCCGTAATTTAGATAGTAGATTGTACAGAAAATTATGTGGTTGGTTTTCAAAGAGATTTTTCTAGAATGAAATTTGCGAAATATTGGAGTTTCATTAAACGGAAGTTGATTAAAATTTTTAATGAAATTCTTGTAGCATCAAAACTTTTTTTATGAAATTTCAGGTTTTTCTGTTCGATAAACAAAATATAGGCCGAAGACCCGGAAATAGGTAGGTGTATTCAAGTGCAAAAAAAATATATAAAGCGATACATAAAGGACGTGAAACATGTATCGTTTGCTAAGCGATATATATATAATTATACACTACATACAATTCTTGTGTCATCAAAAAGTTTTAATGAAGTTTCGGTACTTTTAATTAAAAAAACAACTCTTTAATGAAGACCACCCAATCCAAATCTGCGTTATACGCATACAACAGTTCCAAAGCAGCGTTTTCGTCGAAACACACATAAGCATAGGTTATCAGTGATGCTGATTTTGAATATCACAGTCGGAGCGCCATACGAGTCACTGGAGATTCGTTTTTCTAGAAAACCAGTTTTTCATAAAATTTAAAATATAACCAAAACCTGTCTTAATGAGACATAATTGTAGTCCATAAACTACTGATTAAAATGAGACATCTGCCAGCTGTACATGACCTTTCTTTGCAAAGTTATAGAATTTACAAGAAAAGCCCTAAATGTTCATTGTCACCTCAAAGCCACAGAAATAAGCAGAAATTAATTTAGGGCTTTTCTTGTAAATTCTATAACTTTGCAAAGAAACGTCGTGTACAACTGAGAAATGTCTCATTTTAATCAAAAATTCAGTACTGTTCGCGTTTTTACCTAAACAAATTGAAAACCCAAAATATAAACAAAAACAAAGATAAAACACACTCACATATTTTATGCATCGACAATAAATATTTCTTATTGTGTTTAATTTGAAAATTTTCATTCGGAAAAGTTTTGGCAAAAACTGATTGACCTTAAATCGATAAATACTTATCGCGTATATTTCAACGTTTATCTTGAATCATTTTACCTTGCGTCCCAGGTTGTTGATTTGGGCGTCAGGATCCTGACGGAGCCTGCCGGATCCAACATGCCGGAAGATGTTCGGTATTCGGTAAAATCCGCAGCAGCCGTGCCAAAAATCGGTTGCTCGGAATCTGTGTCGGAAGATGTCGGAAAAGATCCGATTCGACATTTTCCGACTGATGAATCTGATTTTGCTGGATGTGGCAGAATGTGACCAGTTTTGAGATTAAAATAGTCTTAAATTTTTCCTTTCATTTTCTAGTGATTCTTCTCTCTGTTTATTTGAGAGAGTGGAAGGCACCACTAGCTAGGACGTGTACAACACGTCCGTTGAAAAATAAAGTGCACACCACAGGATCGGTCAGTTTTCGATCACCGGAAATTAACGAATTCGACTAGTTCCGGATATCAGATCCGATCTCCGCATCCTCCAAGAACTAAATATCGGAACGCGAAGAAACTGAACAGATTCCGATCTCCGGGTCCGGTCGGACGTCCGATCTTCGGAAATCACCGGAATTAAAAGACCAAATCTAGATGGTTCACTCATAAATAGGAAAAATAGCACTTACCACATGCTTTAGGGACATTTTTGGAATACAAAGTAATAACGAGACGTTCCGCAGGACGACTTCCAATCTTAATATCAAAATATACCTTTGTTGATAATTCCTTTTGCATACTATCAAGCATCATACTTTTCGCCGTCAAGATTTCTCCTTTTGCAGCCAACATTTCATCTTTCGGCGCCGATATTTCATCTTTCCCCGCCAATATTGTATCGTTTTCTTTCAACATTGCATTGAGTCATCATGTAATAAATTGTTAGGAACTAACTAAAATGGATCGGTTAGCATGAGTTGATATGCGCATTGATCGTTTCCCCTTTTACGAAAAAAAATGTATGAAATATATGAAACTAGTCGAAATCACCATTTTTCGGCGGATGTTGCTTCAAAAAGCGCTTATAAGCCTTTTGTAGAGAGTGTACGTATCGACCTATCTGCATTGATCGCTTTAATTCACATTTAATTCACACCATCCTTACCACTATCTTATCTTTTATAGCCATACTGTTTATCCGTTTTGTGTAAGAATTGTATGATACTGCTTCACAATCAAACATACTCACTTTTATGTTCACTCAAACAAAGGAGTCGATTACCTCCAGTTAGAAGGAACAATTTTGCACGTTCTCTTCTATGAGAAAAAATACATTTTTCAACTATTCATATAAACTAATATCAGTCTAAACAGAAAGATAAGAAGATATATTGCGTTCATTCATATGGACGTCGGAACAAAAGACTATTCGAAAATGATTTTTCGGAATAAGAAAAGAAGATACGGACTAATTGCTTTCTTCAATCATCTTACAAGACAATGTTTTTTGTGTAATTCTCATCATTGCTTCTGCCTTGTCGGCTGCTCAACTCATATGTGTTTTATCGTAGAATTACCCATCTCAACAACATTGATTTTTTTAAACTCCTCCTGTCGAGTAAAATGTCAACACCTGCACATGAGATTTGGGTGAAATTAGTGAACAACGCACTGTACATACGGGTACGGGTAGGCAGAACGGAAATGGAAAAACAATGTATGTTTCGCGATCAATCTGAATCAGCGTACCATCTATAAATCGAATGTAATTTTTTCCAACCCGTGTATGATCTGCTCCGCGACTCGATTACTGATGAGACTCATGTGTCTGTTGAGCGTGA